CAGGAGACTGAGGCAGGAGGATCCCTTGAGCCCAGGAGTTTGAGGCTGCAGTGAGTTATGTTCACACTACTGCACTCTAGTCAGAGTGACAGAGCAAGACCTTGTCTCTTATCCTAGACAGCCTGTGGCAAGGTGCCTGGGGATCTATGATTCTAAAAGGATTAAGGTCCTAGGAGCCCATGATAAACAGTCCAACCAAGAGTGAGGTGGCACCCTTATTTTCAGAGCCTTTGATTTTTTTACTTCAAGGTTCTAGTCAGTAATCATGAGACTCACCCAGGGCCGTGGACTTTCCCTCTCTTAGGAAGCAGATTAGGAAACTTGTCCACTTAAACTAAGTGGCCACAGCCCCTGAAGACATGGACATCTAAAAGCAGCACCGATGGACACTCCCTAGAAATTATAGCTTGGGCTTCTTAAGGCACGGACACTAATTAAAGGAGAAAGCCACAGAGCGGGTGGTGACCTGAGCTACTGTTGCCTCCCCCCCGGCACCATCTTGAAGTTCTAGTTTTACTTTTCATAGTCTGCCATGGTGCGAAGGGTCTAGCTGTGAAACTTCCCAAGCTTCAGTTTTCAGGTGGTACACCTGTGAAACTTTTTGGTCAAACAAAAAGCTTCATTTGTGGAATGCTACGGTCAAGAATTAGGCACGTGATGATCTTATTTAACTCCCACAATAGTCATGATACTATTATCACTCCCATTCTCCAGATAAGGAAATTGAGTTAAGCATCAGTAACTCTCTCAAGATCACACAGTTATTCATTGGTGTGGGAGGAATTTGAATCCAGATCTGCTAAAGTCCAGAATATGGCTTAACACCACAGGGCTGCAGGAGGAAGCCCAGCAGATAAAACTGTGTTGAAGCCAGGTGCAGTGTGGTTCATGCCTGTAATCCCAGCACTTTGGGAGGTGAAGGCAAGAGGACTGCTTGGGCCCATGGGTCCAAGATCAGCCCAGGAAACACAGCAAGACCTCGTCTTGACAATAAATCAAGAAAAAGTAGCTGGGCATGGTGGCACACTCCTGTAGATCCAGCTTCTCGGAAGGCTGAGATGGGAGGATCGCCTGAGCTTAGCAGGTTGTGGTGGCCATGAGCGTGCCACTGCACTTCAGCCTGGGCAACAGAGTGAGACTCCAACTCAAAAAACAAACAAAACAAAACAAAAACAAAAACTAAACTGTGTTGAGCTGCCTTGGTTTGGGTTTGGGTTGGAAAAGTCCACCCCACTGAGACTCTCTCTTGTGTCCTGTGAGGTCCCTGGGGACCCTTGCTAGCACCAAAGCAGTTAAAAAAAAACTGAAGCTGGGCTCAGTGGCTCAGCCTGTAATCCTGCGCCTTTGGGAGGCTGAGGTGAGTGGATTGCCTGAGCCCACGGGTTCAAGACCCACCTGGGCAGCGAGACCTCATCTCTACAATAAGTCAAAAAATCATCTGGGCTTGGTAGCGCGCGCCTGTAATTCCGGCTACTCGGAAGGCTGAGGCGGAAGGATCGCCGGAGCCCAGCAGGTCGAGGCTGCGGTGGCCGGGAGCGGCCACTGCACTCCAGTCTGGGCGACAGAGTGAGACTCCAACTCAAAAAAAAAAAAAAACACCTGAAAAGCACTCAAATATCCTTCAACAGAGGAATGAATCACATTTTGCAGTATATCCATACAATAGAATATTTATTAGAAATGAATTTTAAGCCAGACACAGTGGCTCAGGCTTATAATCCCAGCACTTTGGGAGGTGGAGGCCAGAGAATCACTTGAGGCCAGGAGTTCAAGACCAGCCTGGGCAAAATAGTAAGACCCCCTCCAACTCTAATTTTTAAAATGATCCAAAAACGAGAGATTTTAAAATGTACAGTTTATTGAATGAAATTATACCTCAAAAAGGCTTTTTTTCTTTAAAGGAGCCAAGAAAAATTTATTAGCGCAACCAAAAAGGCTGTTTTAAAGAACCCTCAAAGGTCAAAAGCTCAGGCTCACTAAGCAGACTGAAGGGGCGCCAGGCAGGCCAGAGCTCCCCCAGGGGTGCCGTGGCCCATGCCACCACTGTGAGGAAGGGGCCTTCCCCCAGCCCAGCCCCTAGGATCTGTTTTGCACCCTGAGGGGCAGAGTGGCTTCTCTCCAGTGAAGGTGCTGTTGGTACTGGCCATGCCAAGGCTCTCGTCCCTGGGTGGAAGAGTTCGTCCACAAAGGCAGAGTTGTTGGGAGCTTCAACCCATCAAGTGCAGAAACACTGGGCAGTTCCTGGGAATACCCCAGGGCCTCTATACTTATAAACAGAGAGCTTTACAAAAATTTTCCAGATAAGGAAATTGAGTTGCACTAAAGAATGAGTAACTTTCCCAAGGTCACACAGTTATTCAGCTTTGGGGAAGAAATTTGAATCCGGATCTGCTGAAGTCCAGAACATGGTTTAACACCACTGGGCTGCAGGAGGAAGCCCAGCAGGTAAAATTGTGTTGAAGCCAGGTGTGGTGGCTCACACCTATAAACCTAAAATTTGTACTTTGTGAGGCTAAGGTGGGAGGATGACTTGAGGCCAGAAGTTTGAGACCAGCCTGGGCAACATAACAAGACTCTATCTTTGCTACTTGGGAGGCAGAGGGAGGAGGATCACTTGAGCCTAGGAATTCAAGGCGACAGTGAGTGAGCCATGATTGTGCCCTTGTACTCCATCCTGGGCAACAGAGCAAGACCCTGTCCCTAAAATAACAAATAAACACAAATATAAACTTGCTAGAAGGATTAGACCAGACAGATGAGACAATCTCCTGTTTGAGATGAACTTAAAGCATGTAAGGGCCTGTCCTGGTCACTATCTCAGACACAAGGTGGGGATGGAGTGAGGTCAACACAAGGCCACAACACATTCCATGAGCATCCCTGAAACAGTGGCCATGACTTCTCCATCAAATATTTCCAAGGTGCTGGCTCCGTGCGTGGAGGGATGAGATGCCTGGCCTCAGCCTTGAGGACAGGGAAGACACGTGGACAGAGAGCTCTGCCGACAACTGAAGCTTACGAGATGGATGCTCTGAGGGCCAAGAGGAGAAACAAATTGCTTCCAGTTGTGGAGAGGCTTCCTGGAGGCTGTGGGATGAAGGGAGGGAGAGGAACTTGTACACTAGACCAGGGAGGCCGGTGGCCCTTCTACTTACAGGACTGTGTAAACACAAGCAAGACCCCTGGGGAGCGGTTGGGCTGGAAGTGGGGCCTGGGGCTGGGAGTTGGAGGAAGTCCTAAGCCTATGTGGCCCCAGCTGCTCCCCACCCCCTGCTGGGACCGTGCCTGCTGTGATTTCATTAGCTCCTGGGACAGCCTAGGCTGCCTGCAGGGCGGGAGTCTCCCCAGTGCCTCTGGGCTTCCAAGAACAGAACCAACGGCCTCCACTGGAAATGGGGACTCCAGCTGGTGCAGAGAAGTCACAGGAAACTAACCCTCTAAGGGCCACTCGCCCTGAGAGGCACCAGTGTCTCAACCCGTGGGTGCTGAGGCCTCAACCAGGCCTCCTGGGGAAACTGAAATTGGAAAAAGTCCCCACTTGTCCTTCCTAGCCCACAGAAACAGCCTTCAACTTCTCTGAGGATGGCAAGTCGAAAGGACATTGCCCCCTGGTGGCAAGAAACCCACATGCCTTGCAGATAGGAAAGGAGCCTCCAAGACACCCAAGGCAGAAATGCCCTCAAGACTTGCTCAAAAGTCTCCTGAAGGGACCAAGTTGGGCCAGCAACCAGCCCAGAGGGCAGACGAAGTATCGTTTCTGGCTCTTAAGTTCCCTGAGGTGCAGGCAGAAGAGGAAATTGCCTTAGGAAGAGCTGAGGTGCCCAGTCCCAAGTTGTGGCTGGCCAAGCACAGAGCTGGGTCTTATCCCAGGCCCCAGCAGTGCTGGGTCCGCAGGAAGTGTCCAATAAATGGCTGAAGTGGTAATTCTCAATGCATGGCTTCCAAGACCCTTTCAGAAGTACAGGAGGTAAAAACAGGCTGTAAGATACCTCTTCCTCCTTCTAACGCCTAAACAGATGCAGGGTCCTTGGGGAGCCCCAGTGGCCACAGTGATATGTGCTTAGATGTACCTGTGTTTACAAAATTCCTGCTTTAACTTCTAACACAGGATGGCCCACATAGCCAAAGGCTGTTTGAGAACCTTAGTCATTTTTAAGAACATATAATATGTATTCAGGAGATGGAAGCAGGGAATTCAAGGCTGCAGTGAGCTATGATCACAATACTGCACACCCCAGCCTGGGTGACAGAGCAAGACTCTATCCCTAGTGTGTGTGTGTGTGTGTGTGTGTGTGTGTGTGTGTACACTTCAAAAACTGTATCCCTAGTGTGTGTGTGTGTGTGTGTACACCTAGTGTGTGTGTGTGTGTGTGTGTGTGTGTGTGTGTACACTTCAAAAACTGTAAGCTGCCCAAACTAAAACATTCTCTTTGACATAATGAATCAACTGTGAGTCACTCATTCTTGGCCTGACTAGAATTCTACTTGTCATTTCAATAGATCTTTGACTAATGAAATATACAAAAATGAAAGCATAGTGTGCTGAGTGATTTCTAACTGGCAAGCACCACCCTAAGTAACTCACACGTGTCACCACCACTACCATGTGTAGTAGATAACCTGGCCATGTTTTACGCCTGTGGACACCAAGGGTCACATGGCTCAGTTGGAAAGTACAGATAGGAGCCTGGATTCTACCCCAGGCAGTCCATCTCCACAGCCTCTTCCCACTGTTCTGCCTTAACATTTGATACACCTTTAATGCAATGCACTTGAGAGACATAAGTTTCTCAAGAGATGAAGTCTAAGAAAGTCAAGAAAAGAAAGGGAATCGCTGCTCTGGTTCAATGCCTTCACTTTATGGTAGATGAAAAAAAAATGAGGCCCGGAGACAGGAAGCGACTTGCTAAAAGATCACACGGCAAAGAATCAGAATCTAACCAACCCAACTAAGCATAGCAACTGCGTGCGTTGAGCAAGTCACGTCATGACCACATGGGAGACAACGGCTCCAAGAGCAGCTGGACTTTATTGCGGAGAGGCTAGGAAGAAGGGTAAATGAGGGTCTCGCAGGAACGCCATCGCCACACGCAGGACTGCCAAGTCCCAGGTCGGTCTGAAAGCCAGGAGAGGATCGGCCACCTAGGAGAGATGAGATGTTAGGTGGAACACGGTCGCCATCTGCTGTGGACATGGTGGCACTGCAAAAGAAGTGAAGGCCAGTGGTAGGGGGTGAGGTGGGAAGCTCGGGGGGCAGGAGCAGGGTTAGAACCTGAGTCTAGCCTGGCACCTGTGCCCACCAAGGGTGACCAGAGCCCATCAACCTCGCTGAGCCAGTCACTGCCGAAGCCCTCTCCCGGGATACCCAGCCAGGGTGGGCAGGCAATGAACAAAACCATGAGCAAACACATCTGCCAAAGCCAAGGGTCAAGGTGACTCCTCAGCCAATAGGCACTCAGAGAAGGTGATTTCACAGTCAATAGGACTCAGGCAAGATGACTGCAGCCAACAGGCACTGGCTCTCTGTGGATCCCACACTCTGCTTCAAGATGGTCACTGGGGAGCCTCTTGAAACAGACTTCAAAGACAGGCGCTGCCTGGCGTGTGGGTGAAGCTCCCTGGCTGGGTGCGTCTTGCTGAGCACTAAGCCTGGATCTCCAGGAACCTTTCCATATGACACATGGCTGCAGAAATACGCAGAAGAGAGCACAGGGTGTTTAGAACTTCCTGGGAAGGGGAGAGGGCTGTGAGTGACACCCTGTTGGCCAAGATCTAATAATTGTCAGATCTGGGAGATAGGCACTTTGGGATTCAGTCTATCACTCTACCTACATATGTTTGAAACATCCTACAATAAAAATGGCCCTGGGAAGGAATGCTATATAGATACCTGCCGCAACTCAAATGACCCTCAAACACATGATGCTAAGTGAAAGAAGCCAATTGCAGAATGGACCCATGTTACATGATTCCTTTTATTTTATTTTATTTATTTTTTATTTTTTTGAGTTGGAGTCTCACTCTGTCGCCCAGACTGGAGTGCAGTGGCCGCTCCCGGCCACCGCAGCCT